CCCGAACCAGTTCTGGTTGCTAGCTTATTGGAACCATAATCTTACTGACAGCCACTCTTGTCAGAAAGCCCAATCTTTAGCTGTTGAGCAGCCTTTCTTTCCCCTGTGCTCGAAGGAAACCAAGGATGTAACACATGTACTCAACCACTCTTTCAGTGCACGGCAATGCCTAGAGCATCTTAAAAAATTATCAGGAACTGAGCAGACACACGCTGCTGTGTTCACACTTTGCCCCACCAGAGCTAAACCTGGTATTTTATACCTTACTGGTTGAGAAATGCACTGACAGATCAACACCAGGCTACCTGCAGTGAACACTGCAAAAACAAAAGTCAGTCTGCCTTTTCTGCATGAATCCTACCAAGCTTGCATACATTTATCATCAAAGCTGAAGAGTCTGTTCTTCATGTGTTAGAAATGAAAGCAGACCAATGTAATGACAAGTTCAGAAAGTAGATAAACAAAGGCTGGAGTTTTAGAAGCAGTTTGCAATGTAGGGAGGAGGAGCAGGGAAAAAGATGAATGTTTTTAACTGAAGAAATGCCATCTTTAGAATAGATTGAATCAGTGATGTGCTTCACTGAACAATCTGCCAGGCTGTCATAAGATTCATACACAGTCCATCGAGGACTACACACAAATGATAGACACATTCCCAAGGCCTCATAGGAGACAGATGAAGTCAGTTGAGTAATGAAGGATGGGTACTGAGCTGTGCTAGGTTTTCACTGGTTAAGTTGAGGACCACAGTGCAAGGCTTTTACCAGAGTGAGCTGAGAGTGATATTTTGGCTTTAAGGAAAATCCAGAAGTCTAACAGTTTCTTTTCCTAACAAGGATGAAAACCTCAAATATCCATTTTTTTTCATGCAATGAAGTATTACATAGCCTAGAAAAGAGATGTGGTAAGAGGAGGTAAAGCTGTTCTTTGCCCTCAAGCACTCACAGGCTATTGGGGAAAAAAAAAAAAAGTTTCCTCTTTTTGTCCATGCAGAATAAACTAAGCCTAATTAAAATTAAGCTCCTAATTACTATGACCTTGGGAGCCTCTTTTAAGGTAAGAAATGAAAAGAATAACTGAAAAGCTTATGTAGCCTACATCACAGGAGGGCTGTAACAATAGGTTAGGCAAAGGCCAGTCAGGAATGTCTAAAGTATAGCTGATTCTTGAAACACAAGAGGCCTCAAGGGAGAATTGAGTGCAGCTGTTCTTTTATTGCAGCCTCACTGAAACATTGCGTGCATGATTACATTTCATTTTAAAGCTCAGTAGTGTCTGAGAGGGATAGGAGCTGTTGCTTTATGTATATGTAAATACCGTAACATTTACCATATTATCACTAATTTAACGGATTTACCATACAAATTGTGGTAATTTTTTAGATATATATAATTACAGAAACAGACTATTACTGATTGCCTGTGAAAACTCTCTAATTATGTTCTCACTAAATGTTCAGATGCTGATCTTCCAGGGTTACAGATCTTTGTTAATACAAAATACCAGCAATTTCAATCTAATTTTGCATGGTAAGAGTAGGCCTAGCTTCACAACAGTGAGTACAGTAATTAGGAACTGAAGTTGAAACACTTCAAATTACCTGAGCCAAGACAGTTTTCCAAGGTTGATGTTCTTCCTCAGTTTCTGATAAATACATTCAGAAGACCAATTTTTTTCCAGTTAGTGTGCCTTAGTGTTGCCAATACCTTCCTTTAGGAGCCTAAAACTTTTATGATGGATGTGAGCTTCCGCGTTAGACACAAGCTGTTTTAAAAAAGGAAGAAGTGAAACTTTGTTGCTTTGGTAGGGAGTGAAGAAAGAAATCTTTTGCTCTCTTGACTGAGGGAGGACTTTGGAGCTGAGTGATGCTTTAGCACTGCATTGCCTCTTTGCCAGGCAAAAGTGATCTTGCAAGGCAGCTTTTCAAGCTTAAAGCTGAAGCTTGGTCAAAGGAACCTGTCATCTGGTATTTTTAAGTGATTTATGTCCCAGTAAACAGAAACACAAGTAAGCATTTTCAGTTGTGATGGCTGGTCACAAAATTAGCCTGGACTTTTAAAATGTTTTAAAACACTACTTTTCCTCATCGTGGGAAGCTTCTACTCTACCCAGTAGCCTTGATTCTGTTCTGTTAGAGCAACGTCCCACACTGAGAGAGAGGAACCTTCAAGCTTCTTCAGTTACAAATTTCTCTTCAGTTCACTTTTCTACCTGGAGCAGGGAGTTGGTGTTGCAGTGTATATCATGACTTAAGAGCTCTTGTGTAGTAAGACATTGAGTTACCTACTAAAAAGCAATGTAGTACTTAGTAGAATTTGAGAGTGGTAGATGGTGTCAGGGAAGGGAAGGCTCTGCATCCAGTGCAGGCTTTACAAGTGGAAGCACTAAATTGATTTTCCAGGTCAGAAACATGCTGTTAGCACCATGTTGCCTTTTGTCTTTTTGGAATTGCTTTTTTATAACTAAAACTAGATTTCACACAACCTCTGATGTTGTGTGCAACAGATTGAACTGAACTGGGTCTTGGCACTGAATTTTCTTAATGGATTAAGAAATCCCATACAAAATACGTGGTGTGCATCTGGTGTTGACTTGCCTGCCCCATTGCTGTTCTGGCCCAAATTGCCACCAAAGAAAAGTAGTAGGGGTGTTTCAAACCCCTCTGCCAGCTGGGGACTAGGGCCCTTGGAGCCTACTAGGTTTTTTTTCTCTGTTATAATTACCTACAAGGGTGGGTCCATACTGCAATGTCAAAGATAGACACTTTATTTTGTAAGGAGGTGATGATACTTTGGTACTCACGGCAGTTCAGCTGGTTCCTGGGTATATGAGGAGAAAACCTGACCTCCCAGTGTCTCAAATAGCAGTATATATAATGAGCAAAGTACCGGGTGAAAGCAAGCCAGCAGACTTCAAGTGCTTCTCCCTAGATGCATCCAAGCTAGCATCACATATGCTACAGCTCAGCAGGTAAGTCTGGCTTTTGGATTAAGACAGACTCCTGCCAGACAGACTCACACGGCCCAGTAAGATTCCTAACAGGTTTTGTTTGTTGGGTTTTTTTTTAATGACACAACTCATAAGGCAAATACTTTTGAGGATCTCATATAGTGAAAAGCTTTGATTTCACCTTCAGGATAATGCCAGCTGCTGACCTAAGATACCATACCAGTCTGTTATAGCAATGTCCCATGGCACAGAACAAACTTGTTTTACCTTATAACACAACTGATTTTGCATAAAGTTGGAAAAATACAGTTGAAAAAATATATTCAACTGACACAGTAACAACCAGGTGTATCAAAATACAATTTATTCTTAAAATGGCTAGTTTACACATAACAGCAAGGGCTAAGTTGAGAATAAGTGCAATTAGTGGAGAAGACTTATTTCACCTTAGTATTTGTTGTCTAACTGCATTGCAAGTAGCTTCAGACTCAATATGTGATACTTCTTAGCAATGGGCAAAAATGGGATTTATATCTTGATGTTAACACCATTTCTGTACAGCTAAAAGGTATGTCTGTATTCACACCTGCTGAGTATGTATTGCATAATTTCTCACAAGTCTTGCATGAAACACAGATCACTTTTACAGTTTGACAGCTCAGAAAGCTCCATTATAAGTATACGTATACAAAATATACATTAGTTTACTTGTCTAAAAAAGTCTTCAAAAATGAGGTACAATAAAATAGAGCAGTTTTTTCTGTTTATGTGCAAACCTATATTCAGTCTAGAAAAAACTAGTAGCAACCCTGCTCTTTTAAAGAAATCAGCTTTCACAAAGTGCAGCTAATTCACTGTCTTCAATATGAAGGACCCTGCCTATGTTACACATTTGTGAAAAGTCATTGCTAACCTTGCAATAGGGAGTGGGATACTCAACCATCAGATACTTTAAGATTGGATAAGGTGATTAGTCAAATCATCTGATGTTGCTACAGACTAGGAAGTTTACAAATCACTTGGTCTGCTTTGTCACCTAACCCTATTTTTGGCATGTAGGGTGGTTTTTAAAAAAATTGACAGGCATGCTTTTCTTTTAACACTAGAAGGTAACCATCTGCCTGCTAAGTGAGTAGGAAGTGAAGAAGTCAACGTTAGACTTGTTCTCAAATGCAAGACACATTATTCACAAAGCCAACACAGACAGACATCTTCCCAAAGCAGCAGTCACTTCCACTACTCCGCATCATTTTCTGTATTCTCCTTTTTATGCCATAGAACTTCCTCTGGGATGTAGAACACCAGCTATGGAAAGAAATTAGAACACTGTGTGTCTCCAAGTTACATAGCACATCCTACCTCTTTCCC